GTTTAAATCCCAGTCAGAGCCCTGACTTGTTGCTGAGTTATTCTGCCTGTATCCGGTGCAGCTATGAAGTGTTATTTCCTTTCCCTGCTCCTGCTTTCCTATCCCACCATTCGGACTCCCTGGTTACTGACCCCCTGCTTGACTCCTCGTTCTCGATACCTGCTGCTTGTCTCAACCCAGACCGTATTCCGACGACGCCTTTGGTCTTCCCATATTGTACCTTCACCACGGACTTGTACCCAGTACTGTTTCCAGCTATTGGGTTCCACTTCAGCATGCAGGGTAACTTCACCCTTGACAGGTTTCCATGGTCTAAGGAGACCAATGTTAAGCTTTTTGGCCATCAGACTTAACTTATACTAGGCTTAACCAAACACTGCACACAGTGGTGGTATCATCATGCCATTGGTCATTCTGCTTGTCTGAAGCCCCTGGAAGGATGGTAAAGAAGAAAAACCTGATCCAGTCTGCAAGAGACTTGACCCTAGGGAGAAAATGTGTTTGATAGCAAGACAATGGCCCCAAGCACATAAACAAAAACTACAAAAAATTGTTTTAAAAGAAAACACTTTGTTCCCCAAAATGACCAATTCAAAGTCCAGATATCAATCCAATAAAGAATGTACAGCTGGATTTGAAAAAGGCTGTTTACTCACAATTTGCATGAACCTGACTGACCTTGAACAGCATCCAACTGTGCCAAGCTGACAGTCACATAAACATAACTACAGCTTTAGAAATGTACAGTATAAATACTTACTTTGGTCCAGCTTGGCACAATATAAGTATATATAAATTATTCCTGGCAGGGCCACAGGGATCCTGTAAAACACTGTAGTAGCCGCTGTGTCTTACAGCGATTACCCTCTGCAGTTACAACACAGCGGGGTGTTCTTTCGGCACAGTGGCCAGTTAGTCAATGTCAACTGTGTTTCTCTCATTGAATACTAGGCATTCTCTGATTGCACAAGGAGCAGTGACATCACCTGTGTGTGGGTATCGCCATACACACTGGAGTAAGTGCAATATTTCTAGGACCATGATTAAAAGTTAACTCTAAATTGATGACATGTAAAATATTTTAAGGTGTCACCTATGGACAATTTTGGGTGACATAAAAAAAAACGACCATAAAGAAAATATTTTGGGGGATTAAAGTAGCCTTCAGGCCTAAAATGTGCATTCTAACATGTGTGAAACCCCCCCCCCAAAAAAAAAACTCAGCTGTGGCAGCAAAATGGTTAGAAGTTAGGGCTCATTCAGACGGGATGCACTGTTGCCTGTTGTTTGAGAAGATGTGTTCACGCCAATAAAGACACATTCGGACGTTTGATCTTGGTGTGCTGGTGAAATACTAAGGTTTCGTTTGGAGTTTGCTGCGCCATAGTCACTTCAGCACCCACTCATATTGGGTATAGCGGTATGGAGTACAGTGGGATCTCTACAAAATCTCATGCCTGTAAAAGACTTGATTCGGGAAGGGACAGGTGCTGCATGTATTTGCGTGCAACAGCCTGTTCTTCCCTATGAGAGGACATGTGCGGCTCCACACAATTACACACGGTCACACGGACACCTAAACCAGCACATTTGTGCAGGTCCAGATGCCCAGACTTGGTCGTACACCAGGATTGGGTCTTTTTTTCAGGCGTGCACGCCCATCTTAACGAGCCCTAAAGGTGGCCATACACCTTACAATTATCGTTCAATTTTTTTTGTCCTGTCAATGCACCTTAGTTCATTTTCCGCTCAAATAGCACATCATGCACAGACCAATGTAGATTTTGATCATCGTTCGTCAGCAATACTAACTGGCTGAATTTTGTCGATCGACAGAACAGATTTTCATTTGCGCATGTGCAGAGTTCATGTTGCGATTTTTGTTGTACGAAAACGCCACTAATCAATCGATTTTCGTCCGTTTTCACAAAAGTTTTCTAGTCTATCTGTTCAACCAAATTCAGCCAGTTGTACAGTAATTGTAATCGTGCACTTGCCATCAATTGGCTGATTATCGTAAGAAAACACGATTGCGCTAGCTTTTTGTACGATAATCACAAGGTGTATGGGCATCTTTAGACAGTAGTGAGGGGGACAAAGCTCAGCTGCACAATCTATGGCACATTACACTGAGTGGCCAGATTATTATGACCACCCCATCAGTACTTCGTTGGGCCACGAGATAACTCCACGAGATGACTTCGTTGGGCCGCCTCGTGACTCCGCGAGATGTTGAAAGGTAATGCGAGGAATCTGACACTGCACTGTTGCCCTTCTGTTGTCTTGTACCAGTCTTGCCACTCTCCGTTCTGCCCTAACATTGACTAGTCGCTGACGGCCACAATTCGCACGTTCAGACCCAGATTTTCGGCTGACAGTCCAGTCTTTAAACACTTTAACAGCTGCTCTTGAACATTTAACGAATTCTGCTGTTTTGCTGATACTCGCTCCATGGCTCCGAGCGCAAACAATCATCCCACGTTCAAAGGCTGCTAAATCGCGTTGTTTACTCATATCTTCAGAAAAATATCACTTCTACTGTCGTGGTAAACAACCTGCTTCCCTATTTATAATGGTCTGGCCCTCTAGCAACTTCAGCGCCAAATTATAGCTAATTTGCCTACAAACGTCAGGTGGTCATAATAATATGGCCACTCGGTGTATATAGAAGTGTATAGAAGAGTTTCTAGAAGTACATATGTATAGAAAAGTGTTGATGGCAATGAGAGGGACTGTTGGTGTTGAGAAGTGAATGGTGCATATGTACATAGGAAATGCAGACAGAACCATGATAATACTGCATTTGTAGATCTGCAGCAGCTGGTAAGCCCAGGTTGCTAAGCAGTGTGGCAAAAATGCAGATATATACTCCCTGAAGTGTCTACCATTGAGACATTGTTCTGTGAGCAGCTGATTTAGGGCTGAACACTGAGATCTCGACTGTTCACTAGGGATTGAAGTTAAGGGCAATGCAGTGTAATCTCACATGGGGAATGAGAATACCCCAGTGATTGAAAGCAAGAAGCAGAATTGTAGGATTACATCTTGAGCAACCTTACCCTCCTTAATTGCGACATGCAAGAATCAGACAAATCTGTGAGATACCTACTTTAATTTACAGTAAAATGACTTTGGGCTACACAAAGTTAACCAAGGACAGGCTTACCAGGAGGTTAACCACTTCCCTTTCTTTTGGGAATGAATAGCCAATGTAATTTTATTTTAAATATACTACCGTGTTTCCCCGAAAATAAGACAGTGTCTTTTTTTTTTTGCACGAAATAAGAAGTAAAAGAAATCAGCTTGTTCTAAATCTTTCACATAGTGTGAGGCATGAATTCAATGGCAAGGGAAAGAAGTGAGGATCTCAGCACAATATTCAAAGCACAACTTTGCAGCAGATATGGAAAGGTCAGTTTAAAAAAAATAAATTATTATTCTTCAAAAATGGTAAAATAAAGGCTAATCTCCCCAAATGTTAATACAAAATGTGGACAGGGCACTGCTTTTACAGACACCATCACTTTGTCCAGTCTGCTTATACCCAATGGACACAAATTACATCTGCAGGAAAATGTGAAGGAGGCCATCTATGTTATTCCAAATGAAATAACCTTCCATTAACAATGGCAACCCATACCAATACCTGTATATAGATACTATTGTGGGAGCTTTGTTGCTCTCCATCTCTCGGTTTTCTAGCAATCCCTACAAAGACGTTGCCCAAAACAATTACATCATCCTGCATTTTCCGGTTTAACTGAACCATTTTTTGCCCCATTGGATGACCTCAGTCAATATAGGCATTTTAGGTATAGGTAGGTATATAGGCATACATATGCGTTTTATCTTATTGCCTCTGTTCTCACAATTGCTCCATGTTTCCACCAAAATGCAGTGCAGCAGGTATTAATAATTAGTTGTACTCATAAGGCAGTGGTAGGCTACTTGCAGTCTGCATTTCTTTTGGACAGTGGCTTTGATATTGTTGCTAGTTTGTAAAAAAAATTGTCAGGCTGAAATCGAAAATGACTGTTTTGCAATCTTTTAAAAATAATCATTTGTATTTATTTTTTACTTTACTGTAGGGGGCTCTAGGGAAATATCAGCAGTCTAAACAGACCCATATTTTCCTTATAAAATAGAAAAAGAGATTGAAGACACAGAGTCCTCAAGCTCTTTTTCTGCAACCTCAGTTATAAATGAACAGGAATCCTCTATACTGAGTACTCCTGTTCATTCATACATTGTGGATATAGAGTACTTACCATGTCCACAATCATGAATGAATAAGAAGTGATTTAGATCATTCCTATTCATTTATAACTGGGATATAGTAAGCACACTAGGTCCAGTTATTTACAGACGCTCACCGTTCAGCTGATTGGTGAGTGTTTGTATACCCGCTCTCATTCCTGAATCGGCTGTCACAGGAGGGGACTGGCACCGCTCTCCATCCTGACACAGGCGGCAGAACTGGGAGGTGTGGGAGAACACCACCTCCTGTGACAGATCGCAGCTGTCACCGCCCCGGACCGCTCTCCATCCTGACACAGGAGGCCAAGACGGGAGGAGAGCTCAGCCTCCTGCAACAATGACAGCTGTCACCGCTCTCCATTCTAAAAGCTTCTCCCCTCCCCGCTGGGCACCGGCGCTGCATCTAAAGGCTCATAGACCGGCGCCCAGCGGGGCGGACAGAAGCTGGGATACACTGAATTTTCTGCTGCATTTTCAGGCCGTCATGGCACTTTCAGCGAATGGCCGAAAGTGCTATTTTTGGCAGCACAAATTTCGGTGCATCACAACGTTCCCCGTCATCTAGGAGTTTGACTTTTCCAGCAATAGTCAGAATTTTCATAACATTTCAGCTGCCTATCTTTGGATCTTCTGACCATTTTGAAATGTGCATTTTACTGAAGGTAGGCATTGCTTAAATATTTTGTCAGACACATTACCTAAGTTTAGTTGAACCAAGATAAAAAAAGAAATCAAACATACAATTTACTTTGAATTCCAACCTTTATTCCCCTCCTTCAGGACCCAATCTCCACAAACACTCAGCATTAAATAAATATGTGCACATTGCATGTCCAGTCTTTCATAACAGTATCCTCAGCCTGGAAATGCTGCGCCGGCTTGATCAGAGATAGTATGTTGTGGACACTCAAGGGGCTAGACAATAGTCTATAGACCATATAGCTGCCCTGGCCCAAGGATCCTCTGGCTGTGGTCTCCATGGCGTAGTTATTATTTATTAAGAGACATTGATTGCATTCCTTTGGCTGCTGCTCCCGTTCCATCTTTTACTGTAAAATAAATGTAACTATTAATGTAAACGCATTAATAAACAGACTCTTTCTGCTACTGTCTGCAGAGGCGTTGCAAAATAATACAAGTTGAGTTGTGATCATTAGACTCTTTCATAACTGCATCTTCCTATGAAAAGTTCCTCAGGCAGTCAGAAAATCTCTAACTTGTTTGAAAGTCTCCCTGTGACATGCCTCCGATTCTCCATTCTTCTTTGGAGACGATTAAATAATCCCAAGTTCCCTGCGTTCCAAGATGGACAAACATCTTATTGTTGGAGTTATCAGCATGGCACCATTTTGGTTGAATGTTAGTGAATCTGGACCAATTTGCTACTCTGTGAAAGGCAGCCAAAACAAAACCAAAAAAACTACAAATGAACGTAATCTCACAATAAACCCCACAATTAAATTAGATCATTCATTATTCCAAAAAAAAAAAAAAAAAAATGAATGAAATGGTTATGTTCTACTCATGACTTTCCTCCTGTAGGTTAGAAACTTATTAGTTCTCATTAGTCAATATAGTCACACTCTCCTCTTTCTTTCTTCCCCTCAGTTTTTAAACACAAGGTTCAACTCACATAAAACTGACTGAGAAGCATGAGTGCAAATGAAGGAAATTTACTCACATTTCTTTTCGTCCTCCTTCTTTTTTACTGCTTCTTCCCTCTGTTTCCGAATGATTGCTAGGCGGGCCAGGTCAGCCTTTGCTTGGTCTGTTTTTCCTGCTAAATGCATTTTCATATAACGTTCTTTTGCCTTCTGTTTCTCTATTTCCTCCCTGTTGAGCAAAACAGTCATACAATTAAAGCAGAACAGTTAAACACCAGCCATATAAAGGGCATGCACACAGTCATGATGGAGTTGGATTATGGTGTGCAGTATGCATAAATGCAGAGGAAAACATACCTAGCTCAGTCATATGCACATACCCCACCAAAACATGAACACTTTTTAGAGTGAGCGTGTGCTTTGTCCATGCAGGGCAAAGCAATAGGTTAGCTATTATGCAACCTTACTTTCCTTTCTCTCTCCCACCACTTCATTCAGCTGTTCTCGGCCCTTTGCACACTTAGCTCAAGAACTCTAATTAGCCCTCCTAGTTCATATCCTGGACTAAAAAATAAGTGCCTATGTTAGGGAAATGAAAGAATGGGAAGGTTTAAGTAGTTCAACAAAAGACTGGGCAGATCAGCCCATAACAGGACTTAAAGGAGAACTATGGGGTCAGGGCTTTTCCCCATAGTTCTCCTTAGGGTAACGGGAGGATACAAACTAGCGTCCTCTCGTTACTCTAAGCTCAGTATACTGCGAGCTACAGCTTGCGGTATACTGAGACGCCGCAGCCGGAGCGGATCCCGACATCGATGTCGAGATCCGCCCAGCTGCGTGCGTGATAGCTGGCTCTGCCTATCTAGAGGAAGAGCCAGCTGTACCCGCTCCCTCCCGATCCGCCAGTCAGCGCTGGCGGATCGGAGCGGGGAGGGGGGAATCCAGCCCCTCCCCTGTCACGGCATAGAGCCGCGCTGACGGCGTTCGAGAGGTGGGCGAACGCCGGTATATGTTTGCTCACCTCCCGATCTACTGAGCCGACCTGTGACAGTCTCATTGTCACAGGTCGGCTAGAACTATGAGGTGAGTGAAAAGCACTCACCTCATAGTTCTCCTTTAAAAGCTAAGTGTATTGCTGGCAGTTGAACAGGTAATTCTGTACTAGCAAGGTTTTACAGGAGATATAATATGGGAAGATGTGCAGGCTGCAGACATATACTGCATAGTTATTTTTATTGATTTTGCCATGACATACACTTGAAAAATAGTTCCCTGGATATCATTTTAAGTTAACCATTTGAATACTAAAGAATTAACCTCCTTATAATACATCAGCAGCACAGAGAAAAAGGTTGGGAATATTACAACCAATGGTGAAGTGATTTAGTGGACAGTATGTGCAGGGGAAGAGTGCAAAGGCTGTCACAGCAGGCAGTATGTGCAGGGGAGGAGGGTATGACAGTACATCCAATACTTAGGAGAGGTGGTGTGGAAATAAATTGATGACCACATACACTGGACACTGTACAAACTGGATGTGTAAGACATAGGGGGAAAGGAATGGGGAGGGTAGGATGACGGGACATACTTTTGATAGTATTTATTACTTAGCAATTTTGTTTTGTTTATTGAGGTGACGGAGTGGTAGAGGGGAAGGGGTAGCTGCTCAGTTGCTATGTTCAGCTTATGTCAACCTTTACATAGTTAATTCCCAAACCTAGTTTAAGATGATTGTTTTGCATGCTGGTGTGAATTTTTTTCTTGATGTTTTACGTGGGAGATGAGGCCTCTTAATTTCACTGACTGTGGATTTAGTCGGTATAAAGCATCTAGCGGCATTCAGTAGGCGAATCAATGGGGAGTTTTGTACTGTGCTGTGTGCAGTGGATAAGGATGGCGAAGTTAGTTTGCTGGGTTGTTGCTTAAGGTAATCCCTGTAAGTTATCTGACCAATTTCTTTATTTCTCCCCTATACGTTTGTAACATCAGGCATAACCAAAAGAGATGCCGTAATGTTCCTTCAGACTGGATACTTATCCAGCACACTAGAGACGCTTTATAGAACATTTTGTCTTGAACAGTCACTGGAACTCTATACCATCAAGTCTATAATTTGTTTCTGGATTCCTGGAGTCTGCTGGAGATGGAAGAAGATGTGTGCAAAATAAAGCATGTAGACTTGTTCTGACGTACGTTTGGTCAAGCTTTTCTTCCCATTTACTTTACTCGCCTCTCTCTCCTCTGCTCCAGCTTGTGGAATGTCTCTGTGTCTTCACCTATAATGCAGGTCTATGGAATCTGCAGTAGGCTTGATGACATCGGCGGTCCTTAGTTAAGGGAAGAAGATGCTGCAGGACTGGTCTAGTAGTCCAAGGGGAGCAGGGATCAAGTACATTAAATAGCTTTTTTCCCCCTGTTCCCTAGGCATTAACAGGCACCTCAAACCTAGGTGACAACGTTTTGGTGCACTTTTTTTTGCATTTTTAAACACCCGGTTTATGTCCATAAATCAAGTCGCACATTTGTGTGCTCATCGATGTTAATGGGCAGATAAGTGTTTGGCAAAAACGCAGCAAACGCGCATTTTCAAGCGTTTCCTATTGAGTCTGTGGGGCCAAAACGAGTTGTAATATGCCAAAAAAAAAAAAGCTCATGCAATTTTTCCAGAGACGGGCGTTTTGCTTACCGTGACAAAACGCTCAGATGTGAACAGAGCCTTAGAAATGAATGGGATTTTTTCGGAGCATATTTTTTGAGTGTTTTTTAGGGCAGAAAAAGTGCTACAAAACGCTCAGTGTGCACCAGGCCTTAATCCTTGTAGTGCAGTGGCAGCCCCCCTGCAAGTACAGTTTTTTGGTTTACCCGGAGAGGTAAGGAAGTGTCAGGTCTGCATGGCCTGCTATCTTGGCAAGGGTGGCACAAACTTTAATTGTATGTCTGATATAGTTTTTGGTCCATCCATAGAGAGGAAATTATAAACTCTGAAAATGCGGCTATGCAAGAAGGGTCTAAAATGTTAGTCCTGTATGTTGGGAGAAAAGCTGGTTTTGCTATTACTGGTGTCATCAGTGACATGTGTGGATCTGATAAGGGGAGAGAGTTAGTTTTTGCCCAGACCTTAAAAGTTGTGCATGTCAGGGAGTGGTAGGAGAGATGTCTTTGTGGGCACACGAAAGAGATGGGAGGAAAATGGGAGGCAATTCCTGTTCCAGATCTACCAAAAACTTGACTGAGTTTGGGTTAAAAAAATGCAAAGCCTCCCCCACTATACAGGAGTAAGATTGTGCTAGATATTGCTGGGGTCTTAGAAGACCATAAGAATCAAGTAAACAGGGGCAAATACAGGTATTTAGGTTTTTTTAATTTTTAATGCTTCTTTAACCACCTTCCGTCCATGGCCGTTTGTGAACGGCCGGACGGAAGTCTGCTCAGAGCGGGTGGGCGTCTTAAGACGTCCTGCCCCTCCCCCCCCTCTCGTGCGCGCGCTGAGCGCCGCACACGAGAGGGAAAACTGTTAGCATGTAAACAGCCAGCGATGGCTGTTTACATACAAGCGATCAGGCGTCTCTAGAGACGCCCGATTGCTTGCACGATCTGCGGGTGTGCGCAATCGGTTTCAGTTTCGGCCTGGCAATTTATTTTTATTTCGGTTTCGTTTCGGTTTTAAAATTTCCGTTTCAGTGCACCTCTATACACAAATCATACACACATAAGCGCAACAAAATCATTTTCATTTGTTATTGGTTAAATATTTACTCTAGTGCCAGCATCTATGCTTTCTCAGGCGAGAACTAGGAGTGTGTAAATTCATTGTATTTATTTAGCTTGATATATATGCGACACTGGTTAGAGGACAATTGGGGAATGCCATTGCTTAAAGTATAGGTCCAGGATTTTTAAGAAAAAAATAATAATAATAACCCTTGCAGTGAGGTTACCCCTGCACAGCAAGGGTTAACTGCTTATTTTTCTGTAGGAGCAAAAATAAAGAAGAAATACTGGGGAGGAGAAGCTGTGGGAACCGGTCTAGCAGCCAGATAAGGATCAGGTGAGTATTTATTCTTTATTTTCTTTCTCCTAGACAAAATGAGCCGGTAACCCTAGCAGTGTGGGGATAGCCCCCAGTGCAGGAGTTAGTTTTTAAAATCCTGGAATTCCACTTTAAATTGGCTTCTTTCAGGGATTTTGCTAAATGTTTTTCAGATTTGTTTTTACGTATTCAAAAATCAATTGTCTAGTGTAAAGCATTTTGTTTTTTTCTTGCCAAGGAGTGAGGTGTATAATTGATCTCGCAGGATTTTCAGATCTGCTGCCTGGGAGATCGCCAGGGTTTTCTTACAGGTAGTTTCTAGATTTTGCATTTAGTTTACGAGGGAGAGTAATGTAGCATTTATGTAATCACAATTGTTATCAGGGTTTAAAATATGACACATTTATAGGTTTCTAACATAAGACATATGGTGTGTGTGTGTCTGTGTGTCTGTGTGTGTGTGTGTCTGTGTGTCTTTGATTCATCTTGTTCTTAGGAGTACCTGTACCCCTGTATATTACCATCTCTCCGGAAATCGTCCAAAAGCTTCTTGAATGATTCCACACTATTAGCTGAAATCACTGCTTGTTGCAACGAGTTCCAGATGCTAACCGCTCTAACTGAGAAGAACTCCCTTGTGTTTGAATTTTTTTTTTTCTACCAGTTTTAGGTGGTGGCCTCTAGTCTTCATTACGGAATTAATCTTAAAAACTTTGTTGCTAATGTCGCTATGACTATGGAACATTTTGTACATGAAAATCATGTCCCCCCTTAATCTCCTTACTTCCAGCGTGAACATATTTACATTTAGTAGCCTTGTCTCATAGCTCTTGTCCCCCATCCCTTTGATGAGTTTGGTTGCCCTCCGCTGGACTCCCTCCAGCTCAAGGACATCCCTTCTGTGCACCGGTGCCCAAAACTGCACCGCATACTCCAGGTGAGGCCAAACTATTGATGTGTAGAGTGGCAAAATTATAGACTTATCCCTGCAAAACATTCCCTTCTTGATGCAGGACAGGATTCTGCTTGCTTTGCTTACAGCAACCTGGCACTGTAATCTATTATTCAGTTTATGGTCTACAATGACCCCCAAATCTTTCTCCATTTCAGACTTCCCTAGCGGCATACCCATAATTGTATAACCCATTTGCTTATTTTTTATCCCAAAGTGCATAACTTTGCATTTATTGACATTGAACCTCATCTGCCACATAGTTGCCCACTCCCCTATTTTTCCAGGTCCTCCTGCAATGTTACACTATCTTGGTCCGTTTCTATTACCCTCCCAATTTTGGTATCGTCAGCAAGCACTGAGATATCGCTGTGTACTCCGTCCCCAATGTCGTTAATAAACAGGTTGAATAGCATGGGTCCCAACACAGATCCCTGAGGCACACCGCTAATGACACTAGCCCAGTCTGAAAGGGCGCCATTTATTGATACTCTCAGTACCCGTTCCTTTAGCCAGTTCTCTATCCATGTACACACCCTTCCATCTATGCCAGTAGACCTCAGCTTGTATAGTAAGCGTTTATGAGGTACCGTATCAAAAGCCTTAGCGAAATCCAGATATACCACATCCACAGACCTCCCTCCATCCAGATCTCTACTTACCCCCTCGTAAAAAGTCTGTAGGTTAGTCTGACAGGAACGGTCTTTCCTAAACCCATGCTGATTGTCATTAACTATACCATTATCCCGAACAAATTCTCGAAATAGTCTTTAATCATTCCCTCTAACAGTTTACAAACTACCGATGTAAGACTAACTGGCCTGTAATTCCCAGGCTGGCATCTTGCCCCCTTTTTGAAAATTGGAACTACCGCAGCCCTTCGATGTTGGCAGAAAAGAAATATGTCAGCTCTGTAAGATCACAGTCTTAATTTGGTCCTCTTGCATTAGACTCTAATTCAAATAAGGTTTCACATATGTCCCCTTGTTCACTGCATCTTGAAGCCCCCTAATCACCAGAATTGAACAATGAATACTGAGACAAACGCATAACCTCTCAGAGCTTAGCTGTGATCTCAATTTGTTGGCAAAATGATAAAAAGTACAACTGATGCCTTCAGCTGGATATTTTTAAATACTATTGTTTAGGATTCCAGACTAAAATCTTGGCTTCAATCGAAATAACCTGGCAAGGGATTGGTAACACAGAAGCCGATTATTTGGAAAACAGGTTTGGTATATTTTGTGTAACGTAGGGCAAGATAGGCTTGCAGGAGATGGATCATTGTTCCATCAGTCTACTGGTCTGGAGCACCATGGGCGTCTCATGATTTCTTCCTTCATGCTGCAAAAATGTACTCTGCAGTGGATGCTCCATGCAATATTTGCTAGGCCCAAATAACCAATGTATGCAATCCCATTCTGCTTTGCCTATAATGCGATTCAAGACACCATAACCGTAGTCCTCAATTCCTTTCCGATTAAGCCCTCAGGGATGCTACGTAGACCAATAGTATTGCGACATCTATGGTCTCTTCTGTCTCCCACATTAGGGCTGTTATGCTTGCCTCTTTGGGATCAATGGTATCAGGGTCAACATCTTAGTTTTGGCATGGGTCCTCCGATCGCTATAACCACTTTACAGATCTGTGTAATCAGTTTCTTGCAATTATTGCCCAGCTTGCTACTGAATTTCACCATCCAATCAGTGGCACTACAGTAGATAGGTACTTGTCATCTTAACTGGCTTTCTAAGGCCAACAGAAGACAGGAGTATGTAAACTCATATTGAATGCAAATGTGATTGTAATTTTAAGTAAACCTCAGGATAGAAAAATAAAAGCTGATGTTGCTGGCTTGATATAAAAAGGTACAAGCCCCTTTTCTCACAGCTTCCTTGAAATAAGACATTTACCCATGCATGACTATAATAAGCATTAGGTTGAAGTTACCTTTCTCTTCGTGACAGTTCCTTTGGACCTTCCAGATCAAGCTGGGTAACCTTTTTAGATGCCTGTGCTGCTCGATTGGGATTCTCTATGTCAATCAGGCCTTCGACTCCTTTACGCTTTGCCTAAAAGAAGATAAATCTCTTTGAATAAAAGTTACTTTGCATTAAACATTCTGACAGTAGCAAGGCAGCTGTAAAACAAAAAGTGCAGCTATGCAATATAGTTGACTTATGGTTTACAATTACTAATTTAATATAACTGCGAAAGGCAATACACTATATTGCCAAAAGTATTGGGACACCCCTCCAAATCATTGGATTCAGTTGTCCCATCACCTCCATGGCCACAGGTGTATAAAATCAAGCACCTAGACATGCAGACTGCTTCTACAAACATTTGTGAAAGAACGGGTCGCGCTCAGTGAATTCAAGCGTGGTAACGTGATAGGTTGCCACCTGTGCAAGTCCATCCGTGAAATTTCCTTGCTACTAAATATTCCACGGTCAACTGTTAGTGGGATTATAACAAAGTGGAAGCAACAGCAACTCAGCCACGAAGTGGTAGGCCACGTAAAATGACAGAGCGGGGGTCAGCTCATGCTGAAGCGCACAGAAGTCCCCAACTGTCTGCAGAGTCAATAGCTACAGACCTGCAAACTTCGTGTGGCCTTCAGATTGGCACAACAGTGCGTAGAGGGCTTTATGGAATGGGTTTCCATGGCCGAGCAGCTGCATCCAAGCCTTACATCACCAAGTGCATTGCAAAGCGTCGGATGCAGTGGTGTAAAGCATGCTGCCACTGGACTCTAGAGAAGTGGAGACGTGTTCTCTGGAGTGGCGAATCATACTTCTCTGTCTGGCAATTCGATGGACGTGCCTGGGTTTGGCGGTTGCCAGGACCCTACGGACGAAGACTCGGATGCCATTAAAGTTCATGTGCGTGTAAAGGCAGGCGTACCAATATTTTTGGCAATATAGTGGGTGTGTCTGTGTGTACATATATAATATAATTGTGAGAGATTACATGTAGAAGTTAATCTGTTCTAAAATCTTCACAATACATATAATATTTAAATCAATAAAGCATCTGGCTCAAATTCAAAGGCAGACATCCCAATACTTTTGGCACTATTGTGTATATTAAAATATCTAAATGAACACAGTATAGTGATTCTGTTATGAGTGGCTGTTTAAAGGGAAAGTATCATTTATTTTCAGTGGCTAGGTATTATTAGTTATTACAAATGTTTTATGTGACTGTTACATCCTTGCTATTTGATTTTTTTTGTTACTGTATGAGAGTTCTGCAGATTATCTGCAAGAAGTAACCCGGCATTTCATTAACGATACTTCAAGCTAACAACTGCCATTTTCAGTGGGCGGACAGATTGCAACAGTTATGTATTGCCTATATAATTAAAGCCCATCTCCATCAACCCAATCCTAAAAGGAAAAGAAAACATTTTTGTATAAAACCCGAGGGTCATGTTCATCGGGATGCTTACCTGGTAGTCGTCATCTTCATCACTCTCATCTGAACTCTGATCTTCTTTCTTCTCCTTGGTGGGGTCTTTGGCGACTCCCTCACCACCTTCCTCAAGTTCTGCTTCCTGTATAGAAAAAAAAAAAAATAACAATTGTTAAAGCAATTACATGTTTATTAAATTCCTATGAGACTTACAGGTAACAGTATTTCTGGGAATCTTCCAGGACAGCAACCCGAGAGATGATTGGTTCCTCCGTCAATTTAAAAAAAACCCTCCCACCCCCTCATCCCTCTGTTGAGATTAAAGTAGTCTACCTCCACCAGTGCATCGAGGAAGCCAACATTAGAGCTGCAACAGTTAATCGATTTAGTCGATTAAAATCGACGATTGAAAACGCTGCCAACGTTTTCGATCGTCGATTCGTCGGCTATCGATTGATTTATAGCCGTATAATCATTATACAGCGGACTGCAGAATGTCACCAGCTATAGAGGACTACAAATCCCAGCAATAATACATTATATACAGTGCAATGCAGAATAACCCCAGCTACAGAGGACTACAAATCACAGCAATAGTACATTATGGTATAATGTACTATTGCTACATTCCTCTATAGCTGCTGGTATTCTGCACTGCGCCGCTGTATAATGTACTATATTGCACACCACACTCCACACCATACTTCCACCGCGCCAAGCTTGCTCCCGTGATGGACTACAATCTCAATAGAAACTAGTAGTCCATCACTGGAGCCCTTTTTTTTTTATCCGATTAGTCGATTAATCGAACTTAATAATAGGCTAACTAATCGATTATGAAAATAATCGTTAGCTGCAGCCCTAGCCAACATCAAATACAATAACAAAAACCAAGGGTGGGAAATGGCTTGCTGTCCTGCAAGATTCCCAGTAATACCGTTACTGGTAAGTCTAACAGGAAATTTTCGACAGCAACCTGAGAGGAGAAGCAAGAAATAAACAAGCTTATCTCAGGGTGGGACTACTACCTGCAGAACTTTATTGCTGAACACTGAGCCTTATTGCTAGAAAACCTTCACTTACGGAGATAGACAAAGGTAACCTGACAAGACCCAAAAGCCGTTCTGCAGATTTGCTCCACTTCCCCTTTCCTTTCATGATTTTACAAAATCTGACAGAATGTGCCTTAAATGAAGGAGGAACCTGCGATCCTTCTTTAAAAACAAAGATGTAGTCTGTTTATATCTATCTGGCAACTTTGATCTAGACGGTCTAGCAGCTCCTTTATGGTTCGACCCTCCAAAGTCCCAAGTTCCACATAGAAGACTGAAGAGGAATCTACCACCTGCTAAAGAATGGACATTCTCTACCTTAGGGCTTAAGCCCTCGTTCACACCTGAACGTTTTGTAGCGCGTTCTACGCTCGACGAACGCTCTACAAAACGCTCAAAAATATAAATCCCATTGTATTCAATGGTCTCGTTCCCACCTTGGCGTATTTCCGCCCGTCCCTAACGCGCTACAAAACGGACCACGCCTGAAAAGGTACAGGTACTACTTTGGGCCGTTTTGTTGCGCGTTTCCATTGGGATACAGCCAAGTAGCCTTCGGAAACGTGCGACGGTCGCGCGACTTTTTTTACCGCGATTACCGCGACAGACACGCATATGCAATACGCCTAGGTGTGAACGAGACCTTAGGGTTATAGCAGAAGGAAAACAGAATAATTTCCTGGTTTCTATGAAATAAGTGGCCACCTTTAGCCAATACCTAATGTCTGGCTCAGTATCACTTCTGGGAAAAAGTGGCACTTGCTGATCAAGAGGTATATGCCCTGATAGGAAAAGGGTGTAACCCTGTCCTAAGTCTATGGACTTGAAGAAAAGCTATGCTACCTATAATGGTGTAGTCCCTTACAGAAACCCTCAGGGATGACCGTGAGTCAGCCTAAAAGGAGAAACATGTCCAAAAAAGATAAACATGAACAAAACAAAAAGAGCAGACAGGATTCAGATGAGACCAAATGCAGTCAGAGGTTACTGTACATTACACCAAGTACAGACTGCAGGGATTGATCCAAAAGGAGAACTATGAGGTGAGTGATTTTCACTCAACCTCATAGTTCGATGCCGACGTGCGACAATGAAACTGTCAGATGTCGGCTCTATAGATCGGGAAGTGAGCGAACACATACCGTCGCTTGCTCACTTCGATTATCTCCCTGCAGAGAGCGGTGACTGTCAGTCAGCGCTGACTGGAGGAACGGACGGGGGAGGGGGCGGGCACAGGTGGCTCTGCCTCTAGATAGGAAGAGCCGGCTGTCATTCACGCAGCTGGGTGGATCTCGACAGCATTGTCGGGATCCGTCTCTGCTGCAGCGGTCTTAGTATACCGCGAGCTGTAGTTCGCAATATACTGAGCTTTGGATCACGGGGGACGCTAGTATATGTCCTTCCGTGACCCTTAACCATTTGAAGACCAGGTGTTTAGACCCCCTTCCAGGCCAGGCCATTTTTCAGTATTGCGGTACTTTGACTGACGTGCGGTACTTTGACTGATGTTTATTCCGTCGGGAAACACTGTACTGAAATGAATTTTATACCATTTTTTGGGGACAGATAGAGCTTTTTTTTGGTGGTATTTAATCACCACTGCGGGTTTTATTTTTTTCTATATTTCAGAAAATTTACTGAAAATTTTGAAAAACAAAAGTGATTTTTACATTATGTTAGGAAACAATTATTATTACCCAATTTTTTGGTAAAATATAAAAGAACGGGTCACGTCGGGTAAATAGACACCAAACACTTCAAGCTTAAAAATTGCGCGCACCCGCGAAATCTCAAAAACCTACAATACCCAAAATTGACCATAGGCGACGCTTTAAAAGCTTTTACCGCTCATCAGTTTAGTGTTATCTGTGATTGATGGCCCTAAAATTATTGCTCTCAGTGCGACATTCGCAGCGATATGTAACATGTGCGGCGTAATGGGCGCAATCATCGTTTTCGCAGGTATGCGCACCTGACGCATGTTTGCATGTGTGTATGTATGGGTGGGGGCTTTTAAAATAAAATTTGTTTTTTTTTTAATTCTTTTTTATGTGTGACTTAAATTTTTTTTCCTATTTGTTTTTTTTTGTTTTTTCACTTAACTTTATTGCTATCACATAGGGGGCAAAGAAACCCCTCTATGTGATAGCAAAAGATGTCTCCAAGACCCCTAATGTCACCTAGGACCCCCCTGAAAAAGCTGATGAAGCACAGATCTGCTCCATCAGCTTCTCTCCAGCGTCTGAAGCTGGAGAGTGACGCAAGAATGCGGAAGTGATGTAATATACAAGAATGTGGAAGTGATGTAATATACATCACTTCCGCATTCTGGCAGCAGAGAGGGGACCGGAGGGAGCTCGTGTACTGGTCTCCCTCTGATCCCCTGTGACACAGGCACCATGCTGATCCCGGGATGAAGCGGATCCTGACAATTGTGCCGGGATCCGCCCAGCTGCGTGACTGACAGCTGGCTCTGCCTATCTTGAGGCAGAGCCAGCTGTACCCACCCCCTCCCCCGTCTGTTCCGCCAGTCAGCGCTGACGGATCGGAGCAGGGGGAATCCAGCCCCTCCCCTGTCACGGCAGAGAGCCGTGACCGGATCGAGAGGTGAGCGAACGCCGGTATGTGTTCGCTCACCTCCCGATCTACTCAGCCGACCTGTGACAGTCTCATTGTCACAGGTCGGCTAGAACTATGAGGCGAGTGAAAAACACTCACCTCATAGTTCTCCTTTAACCTCTAAGAGTCCAACAAAATAGGCAATTTAAGTCCTGATTGGGAGGGGGGAGTAGTGCAAGCTCCGGTCAAAACAGGTGCAAAACACGTGGAGTTGGAAAAGTAGTACAAGCTCTGGTGAAAACAGTGGCACATGTTAAGACAGATGTGATCTAAGAGGCTAAAACTGTCGCAATTGCTTTGATAAATTCCCCCCATTGTCTAGTAGTCTCTTTTACTTGGACTTATTTGAAGACATAAATATCCTTTGACTCCAATACCTTTGTTGTGGAGCTCTTATTATCCTTTCAGCTTCCATTGATTGGAGATGCCTGAAAGTCCTGTGATCCACAACATTGTCTTCCCTTCACATTAAAAACTTTGCAGTTAGTTCCTTTCTTGCTCAATCTGCATATGCCCTACTCCAGTCCCCTTTCTTTTCGTTTCGTCTATGTGTTATTAAAAATCGAGAAAAGCGTTCCCTGGCAGGGTAAATAGATTATGGGACACATCTCATCTCTGTGGTAATGATCTTTGGTCGACGTTTCCTGGTGCCACCAACTTTTTCAAACTTTGCTAGTTGTCACAGGTGGTTTTAGCATTCATGAAGTCCTTATATACAGAAAATAGCTGCTGCAATCACCCTGATCTGTATTATCTACACATACACATTTTAATATGACTTTACAGAAGTTTGAGGTACAAAAGGTGATTCAAATCTTTGTCAATAAACAATAAAATGACTTAAGGTCCAATTCAAGTGACTAAAAAAGCAAATCAAAGTAGCAAATAAGAGCAGTGGAGCTCACTTCAGTCAGATCTGTCGAGTCAAGTTTTAATGGGAAATGTCAAAGCAGCTTTGAGAATACCAGACGTTTTGGAGCTGGTCAAAATTTTAGCATAGAGAAGCTCCTTCAAATAACGATGTGAAGTTTGACTCCAATGTTGTAAGCTGACAATTAAAGCTCCTAATTTCTCCTCTTCAGCCCTGCGAGTTGAACAAGAGAAATCCACAGATTCCCCCAGTAAAGCTAAACAGTGTAGATGGAGGAATCCCCACTGCCAGCTATAGTAGTCGGCAGCCACTGCTTCAGTAGCTGCTGAATACCTGAGCAGAATGTGCATCTGATTGGATGCAGGCACTATTTGGGCAAGAAATGTTAGGACCGGCCTATTTTGGCAAAAGTCAACTGACAAAATGAAGAGATATACTGCGGAATCACAGAAACAAACTAACAGCGTGAAATGCAGACAAGAGAGAAAAACAACAGGAACCACTTATGTAGACATACCTGAGCCTTCTCATGTTCAGCTTTAATCTGAGCATCTATCTCCTCTGGACTTGTATACTGCCTCACCCGACCTTTGTGACCGCCTTTTCTTCCTGCATAAAACATGGTTGTGAGTGATAAACATGTGTAGTATAATAATGCACATAAATAAGGATCATTTATAACAGCATATAGTGTCAACACTTAGACTGGCGTTATGAAATACCCTTAAAAGGAGAATTATGAGGAGTGATTTTCACTCAGCCTCATAATCTGAGCCGACCTGTGACAATGAAACGGTCACAGGTCGGCTCAGTAGATCGGGAAGTGAGCGATCCTCCAGCACTGAGTGGCGAAACTGACGGGGGAGGGCACAGCTGGCTCTGCCTCTGGATAGGCAGAGCCAGCTGTGAATCCCGCAGTTGGGTGGATCTCGACAGCTTTGGGTCACGGGAGAACGCTAGTTTGTGTTCTCCCGTGACCCTTAGGAGAACTATGGGGAAAAGCCCTGACCCCATAGTTCTCCTTTAAACAGACAGGTATACTTTATGTGAACGGTCAATCCTTCCCTGTCCCAACCTAAACTACATTATTATTCCCTCCACTGGTGCTTACTTAGCTTAATCCCAAAGCCACGGCCTCCACTGCCGTTTACAGCCCATCCAACATAAAACTCTAACAGCAGGTCGCATCTGCCCCATAGGCTAGAATGGAGATGTATACCAATTCTCGCTATACATCCCCCCCTACAGCTCTCAGGGCAGGCAACTAGGTGCAGGGATGCTGAAATACAATATACTACAGAGTGGTGCAGCATGCACACTTTCCATGTTAGAAGCGTTAGGCTCTTATTCACTATCACGACTTTGCCTGCAAATCTGTGATTCGGTTTAATGAATCTCACAATTCACATACAATACACAACCAGACAGGTGACAACCCGATGACTTGGTTGAGCGTTGCACTTTCCAGGCCATTCACAGGACAATTACATGGCATAATCACCTTTCTCTGAAGACAGATATGCCCCAGGAATGTAGATGAAACAGAACATTTTCCATTTATTCTCCCTAACAAGACTGGCTGCCCAAAATGACAAATCCTTCAGAAACTAAATCAGCCCGTTCAAACTCCTGATCCACATGCAATGGCTGCAGCGGAGGAACCCGAATGAAAAAAAAATCTATTATTGTCTGGCCTTTTAAATAAGATTGTTTAGGCTTTTTCAGAAAGTAAAAATGTGAGCAGCAATTTTTAAACATGTGTACGTTATACTATGTAAATGGGAACATGTTTTTTTTAAGCCCGTGGAGCATGCATACGAAACACCCAAAAAGTGAACCAAAAAAGTGCATGTGAACACACAAAAAAGTGTACAGAAGGAGTGCAATCTATAGGGTCTGTCTCCCGAAGAGACAGGGCCCATCCCTGAACCCCTAGGGCGCACGGTTCCTGACGGGGACAAGGCACTCGTGTCCACCTGGCCGAAACCAGGCGGTCCCATTTCTCATGGTCCACCAAAGCCGACCACCGAGTACTCGGTTGAGGGCTCCCCCGAAGGGAGACCACCGATTCAGAGGAGGAAGGAACCTGAGGGCCACACATCCTCCCCCTAGACTTCAGGGTAGGCCCGAAGACCCACACACTCCATCCTGTGGAGTGAAAAACACATACAAAAAATAGTGAAAGGTGCACATGCAAGTGAGAAAAATAATGTAGAGTGCCAGTGTATATACAATGGCTAGGCCTTGCGGCTCGGTAAAAAAAAATGACCCCTGGTCTCAGCCAAAAGGCCTAGCCCAAGAGGTGATGTGCCTCAAAAAGCAGCAGTGTCATGCCAAAGTGACTTTTACACCAGTGTGATCCCACACCCACAGTGCTACTCGAGCACGGCTGGGTCACCACTCCAGGGGGCGTTAACACCACGGGCTTCGTGCCTTCCCAGCCCATGGCCAGACAAGGTAGATCCTTCCAAATCAGGAAGAATTGGGTCCTGCCAGATCCCAGCGCCGAGGAGTACTCCCAACCACCACTCTTACGTGAGTGGACGCTCATTCGGTTTCCTCCCATTGCCAGAGACTTTTAGGAACCCCCATCACCAGGCAGGGTACTCAGATTACAGCCATAAGGCCAGTACAGCGGCTCCTTTCCCCTACCTGCAACTGATAAGAACAGATACTACACTTAATCTTAGCCAAAAGGCAGAGAAGCGATGTAAATGGGAACATATAACATACATAAAAGTAGATGTTATCCCAATTTGACAGCAAAAGTGACAATGCCATTTAATGGCCATCTAAAATGACATGCCCATCTAAGCCTACTGTGCTCACACGGTGACAACTGTGCTGCGTGATTTAACTTGGGAATGAACAGTGTTGTCACCCTGCTGAAGTGGGAAAAAATTAATTGATCTACCTGCAGGATGAACAGGAAATACAACTAGAGCTGGCTGGCTGTTCACTGTCAGAATTTCAGCTGATTCACAGGAATGGGAACAGCGGTGGCTGCGGGCTGAACTAAAGTTAATTATCGAATATGTCGGGCTGAAAATCGTCAGCCAATCCTCTGCAGTCACTGTTCAGGTACTGTGGCAGCAGCAGGTGGCAGTTGTCAGAATACAACTGCCTGGCAGGATAGATAATCCTTCTACTCATGATGTTTAGTGTGGATGGAGGAAGCTTTTAGATGTCTTTGCTGAACAAAAACAAATCTATTAGTGCATGGCCAGCTTTAGCTACAGGGAGGGGGCACAGAAAAACAAAAACTCCAATCCACTGGCTTTAAAGGGCAATGCAGATCCAAAACACAAAGTAACATATGGTGTCAACAAGGCCCATAGACAAAAATAGTTTTCAGTTACATGAAATCGCCCCTTGTGTGGGCCAGCCTGATAGACAGATGACAATTGGAGATGTGAATGTTCCCAATCCACTCATGTGAAATCGGCCTAGTCTCTGGCTAGAAGTTTTTAGAGCACATTACACCAGTCATCGCTGTGTTTTCATGCGGCAGATCTGGCGCCATGAACTTTCTGTAGTGTTCCTGACAGCCGCCGCCTGTGTTCTCCACTCACCTGTCACAATGGCCTCTCGCATATACAACAACAATGTACACCGCGGGCTCCCCCAACCACCCATCCCGCCATTTGGAGAACAATTTGCTCACCTCCTTTCGGCATGATCGCACTAGTCAGCTCGCTGCCTCTACCTCTCCCCCCACCAACTTGATGGGCACGCGGCTCAGGGCCCCCTAACCAAGGGCAGTCCTAAGCGCCTCCAGGGGAAAAGTCATTTATCTCAGCTTTATTAACTCTCAAAAGGAATTTTTGAACTGATACACGACACTCTCTTCCTGTCAAGGGGCAAACCTAATATGAACTCTGTAATAATAACGCCAACATAACACATTATATTTGTATTTTCAGACAGGCACTGTTGTGGACAGCACGTCTGACGCAATGGTCCCCATCCTGTCGGAGCTCCAGCATACTGGAAATGTCTCATTTACGACATAAACGGGTCACACAACCAGTGCATTGCTATACGGCGGACACAGCCGATTCACGGGCCCGCCGGTGAATAATTATGACTTCGTTATTGAATCAAGGGAATTTGGGAAGGACCTCGGCTGAATGGTGATGTCATCACTCAGCGTTTACACGGAAGTGGTGAACAGCGTTTCCGGATCATAGAGCTGGCGTAGTGAGAGTCTGTGTGTGTTTCGCTGGTTTCAGGTAATGTGGTTTTTCTGTAAATACATCGTGTCATGGTACCTGTAGTCTTGTCCGCCATGTAGGCTATTGACTGGGATTACAGTACATATCAGTGTCTGATACAATCGAACATGTATAGTTAGTCTATAGATGTGTGGTGCACTTTAAAATACAAGTCAGTATATGCTACAGACGAATGACTAGGAGTTGTACAGTGATAGAAAACAATGGTCAGCTGCGTGCCTCATTCACACCACAATGGAGATATACATTGCGCAGAGTTGTGTTAAAATGCAGCGTGTATGCATTTTGATGCAATGGACATGAATTAATGCATGTAATGCAATACACAGCAACTGAAGGAAAGAAAATGATTTTGCCCCTATCCAGGAAAGAGGACTAAAAAATGCTTGACAACGGATGGCATTAAAACACATGCCAATGTGCCTAAAAATACAACCTGCATGAACGAGCCCGGTCACACCACACTTAATAACTCAACCACAGTGCATTGACAATGTGTATTCTTTAACCACTTGCTGACCGGGGTGTTTATACCCCCTTCCTGGCCAGGCCATTTTTCAGTATTCAGCGCTGCGGTACTTTGACTGACATTTATTCCGCCATGCAACGCTGTACTGAAATTCATTTTATACCATTTTTTGGGGACGCATAGAGCTTTCTTTTGGTGGTGTTTAATCACCACTGGGGTTTTTATTTTTTTTACTATATAATGAAAAAAGTGCCGAAAAGTTTTTTAAAAAAACCTGTTCTCCCTACGTTATGTTATAAAACATTTATTCCCCAATTTTTTGGTAAAATATAAGACGGTGTCACGTCGGGTAAATGGACACCAAACATGTCAAGCCTTAAAATTGCACGCACCCGTTAAATCGCAAAAAACAACCATACTCAAAATTGACCATAGCCGACGCTTTAAAGATTTTACTGCTCATCAGTTTAGTGTTATCAGTGATTGATGGCCCTAGAATTATTGCTCTCATTCCAACGTTCGCGGCGATATGTAACATGTGCGGCGCAATGGGTGTAATCGGCGTTTTCGCACGTAGGCGGGCCTGACGCATGTTTGCATGTGAGGGCGGGGGACTTCAATTTTTTTTTATTATTGCTTTGATATGTGATTTTGAATTTTTTTATAACTTAAATTTGTTAAACTTTTTTCTTTTTTTTTTTTCACTGATCTTTATTGCTATCACATAGGGAGCAAACAAGCTCCCTATGTGATGGCCAATTTGCATTGACAGGTCCTCTTTATGGAGACATCAGGGGTCTTTAAGACCCCTAATGTCACCTTGGGACCCCCAGAGAAGCTGATGAAGCAGAGACCTGCTTCACCAGCTTCTCTCCGGTTTCTGTACCGGAGAGTGACAGAGGAATGCAGGCAGTGATGTAATACACATCACTGCCTGCATTCAGGAGAGGATATCAAACAGAGCTCGAGTACTGAGCTCCGTTTGATCTCCGGTGCTGGTCCCGGTCTGCTGTGCTGGTCCCTGGCTCACACTGGGAACAGCGGAGCCCGGGATCACCAGCAGCGGCGACGGAGGGGGGCATGCACACCTGACCGCATATTACAAGCGATCGGCCGTCTCTACAGACGCCCGAATGCTTGTATGTAAACAGCCATCGCTGGCTGTTTACATTCAAAGCCGGTTTCCCGCTCGTGCCCGCCGCCTAACGGCGGGGACGGGATGGGACGTTTAAAAACACCCACCCGCCCTCAAGAAGCCGCTGTCCGGCCGTTTAATTACAACGGCTGGACAGCAGGTGGTTAAACTAGTATTAAGCTCTCAAATGATTTGCACTAATGAATCCAAAATATTTATTTACATCTTTCCCCAAGTACTTACAATTATCATGGTTTCAAACAGCTTACTCCAGCTCCCTCAGCTCAGCCTCCCTGAACTTCCTGTCCAGTACAAGTAGCATGCACTGGAGGTAGCATGTTGGATTAGCTAGCAGATTGGTTAGATGTCTTTTTCTATGGATTTTAAGGAGGGGGGGGGGGGGCTTT